CAGAATGTGCGATAATGCTACTAAAGATTTTCCTTTTTAAACAGATTTATTAAGATGTAATTTATATACCATCAAGTGTAACCATTTAAGTATACAATTCAGTGGTTTATATACATTTAGTATATTGCAACCATTACTATAATTTAATTTTGGAAGTTTCATCATCCTTTAACAAAACTTTACATTTATTAGCAGTCACTCCCATTTTCCCTTACCACTGGTCCCCTTCTTTTACCCTAGGGAAATACTAATCTACTTTCTGTCTCTATAGATCTGCCTCTGCTGAACATTTTATATAAACAGAACCGTAGAAGATCTGGTCCTTTGTGACTGGCTTCTTCCGCTTTGCATGTTTTTGAGGGTCATCTCTGTGATAGAATGTATCGGTACTTCATTCTATTTGTTGCTGAATAATATTCCATTATAGGGATATACCATATTCTGTTTATCCATTTATCAGTTGAAAAAAATTGGGGTCGTTTCCACTTTTTTTGCTAACAGTGTTGCTATAAACATTTGTATGCAAGTTTTCTTGTGGATATATGTTTTCATTTCTTTTGGGTATAATATACCCAGGAGTGGAACTGCTGAGTTATATATTACCTTTATGTTTAGCTGATTTTTTTTTTTAGAGACAGGGTCTTGCTATGTTGCCCAGGCTGGCCTTGAACTCCTAGGGTCAAGAGTTCCTCCTGTCTCAGCCTCCCAAGTAGCTGGGATGAGAGGTACATACCACAGTGTCCAGCTATGTCTAGCATTTTGAGGAAGTGCTAAATTGTTTTCCAAAGAGGCTGCACCATTTTACCTGCCCACAAACAGTGTATTCAGTGTCTCCACATCCTCACCAACACTTGCTATTTTCCATTTTTTTATTACAGCCATCCTAGTGGGTATCAAGTGGTATCTCACTGTGGTTTTGATTTGAATGTCCATAGGACTAATGATGTTGAGCATCTTCTCATGAGCTTACCAGCCTTTGTATATCTTCTTTGGAGAAATGTCTACTCAGATCCTTTGCTCATTTTTTAATTGAGCTGTCTTTACTGTTGAGTCATAAGAGCTCTTTATATATTCTAGATACAAGTCACTTATCAGATAGTTGATTTGCAAATATTTCCTCCCAATGTATGAGTTGTCTTTTCACTTTCTTGATGATGTCTCTTGAGGCACACATTTTTTATTTGATAATGTGAAAGGTTTTGAAAGTACTTTTTAGTACATATCTTACAGGGGAGGTGAAATTAAGATAGGGGTGTATTTGTACACCCATGTTCATAGCAGCATTATTCACAATCGCCAAAAGAGAAAGCAACCCGTGTTCATCAACAGATGAATGGATGAACGAATGTGGTATGTAGATATTATTCGGCCTTAAAAAGGAAGGAGATTCTGATACACTCTACACTGTGGATGAACCTTGAGGACATTACGCTAAGTGAAATAAGCCCATCACAAAAAGACATATATCATACAATTCCACTTACATGAGATCCCTAGAGCAGTCAAAGTCATACAGACAGAAAGTAGAATGGTGGTTTCGAGGAAATTAGAAGGGGTAAATGGCAAGTTATTGTTTAATGGGTACACAGTTTCTGTGTGGGAAGAAAAAAAGAGATGAAAAGATGAAAGGAGATTGACAGTAGTGATGGTTGCACAACAATGTGATTGTAATAAATGCCACTGAACTGTACACTGAAAACTGTTAAAATAATTAAAAAGTAATAAACAGATGAGGGGCCGGGCATGGTGGCTGATGCCTATAATCCCAGCACTTTGAGAGGCTGAGGCAGGTGGATCACCTGAGGTCAGGAGTTCAAGAGCAGCCTGACCAACATGGTGAAACCCCGTCTCTACTAAAAATACAAAAAAATTAGCCAGGCGTGGTGGCTGGCACCTATAATCCCAATTACTCAGGAGGCTGAGACAGGAGAATTATTTGAACCCAAGAGGTGGAGGTTGCAGTGAGCCAAGACCACACTACTGCACTCCAGCCTGGGTGACACAGTAAGACTCCATCTCAAAAAAAAAAAAAAAAAAAAAAAGTAAATAAATAACAATAAACAGATGAGGGCAGCAGCTAGTTCCCAGTCCTTGGGTTTTAGCTTACCATTTTGCTCTTCCCTGCTAACTTCTATGCCAATAAGTAAAATAAGCCAAAAGCACAAAAAATAAAAGGTTCAAGTAATCCAAAAACAAGCAGCATACAGAGCTCAGTGAAACAGCAAAATGTGAAAATAAATTACTTCTGCTGACTCCCATATTTGTAGAAGGTCTATACTATGTGAAGAACAATGCTGAGCACTGGGGACTCAGAAACGCCTAAGATAAGGACCCTGTGCCCTAAAGGAATTTTCAGACCAGGAATATATTTTCAATTCTATGAATGGCACTCAACCTAATTCAACTTTCATGCTTTTTGAATGGGAATCTTGTAACGACTGGATTGAACAACACCACAATCAGAGTTTGACTACATTTAGGGAAGCTCTCGTTTCTTCTTCCCTCCTCTGACAAAGCAGCATATCTTTCAACTCTAGGAAAATTTAAAGCTCTTACTCATCTGTTAAATATAAAAGGAGGATGATTATGCAATTTGGGATCCAGATAGTCATTTTTCTGAATGAGTTCATGCATATGCTTATTTACAACTATTTCACTTTTTCCTGAATGCATGTAAAAGATCACTGCAGCTTAACAGTATGCAAATCTATTCATACTGTGAAATCATAACAGCAGCACCAGCCTGCTGAGAACTAAGAGGAAATGCCACATATGACCAAAGACTAAATTACCTACCAAATCAAGCCTTTGAAAAGCACAGACACATTTACTATGGCACAAGAATATACAAGAATAGGAAAAAGTTCTAGCAGAGGGATTAGTTAGAATAATCCATGCCAAAAAGTGCTTTAAAAAGCAGAAACATCTTTTGGACAAACAGGAGTTTGTTCAATAACTCAAAAAATATTTATTGAACACCTATTATGTCCCAGGTACCCTGCTAAGATCTAGGGGAAAAAATAAAGAATAAGATTTAGTCTTCCCAACCTTCCCCAGAACCTCAGTGTGTACCATGGGGGGCAAATAAGCAAAAAATTCTATAAGATGTGATAAACGCTGTGATAGACAATGTACAAGATGCTATGAAGGCAATAGCATTATGGGATAGCATGGAGGGATCAAGGAAAGTTTGCTGAAGGAGAGGAGACTTAGGGTGTGTAGAAGTAGTTGGATAGGCTGGGCACAGTGACTCACACCTATAATCACAGCACTTTGGGAGGCCGAGATGAGAGGAGCACGTGAGGCCAGGAGTTCAAGACCAGCCTGAGCAACATAGTGGGAGCTCATCTCTACCAAAAAATAATAAAATCAGTCAGGTGTGCTGGCACTCATCTGTACTCCTAGCTACTTGGGAGGTGAGGCAGGGGCATTGCTTGTGCCCAGGAGTTCAAGATTACAATGAGCTATGATTGCACCACTGCGCTCCAACTTGGGCAACAGGGCAAGGCCTTATCTCTAAAAAAGTGAAATGAAATCAAAAATAAAGTAGCTGGGCACAACAGGCAGAGAGGGTCAGTGTTCTGCAGAGAAAGAATAGCATATGCAAGAAGATGGTTCCCCTACAAAAGTAAGACATTGGGTTCTGAAGCTGGGAAGATCCAGGATAGAGTCCCACTCCACCATGTGTTAAATAAATAATCCTCATGGGTTAATTTTTTCCAGCCTCAATTTTCTAATCCATAAAATGGAGACAGCAATTTTACCTCCTCATCATGGATTAAATGAACTAAGCACATAAGTAGAGTTCTATAAACACAGCAATTATCATGACGATAATATTTTTAAATAGGGGGAGTATAGCAAGAAAATAATTGAGAGAGTTACAAAAAGAAATGCATTTAATCCTTGTATTTTCCTTTGACTTTGGTCTCAAGTTTCAGCCTAACCATGACTTTGGTCTCAAGTTTCAGTCCAATAGTCATGTCCAATAAATGACCATATCTTAACCGCTTCAACCATTGCTATAGTCTCTTTTATATGGGCACATCTATATCAGTTAGGATAAGATTCAGTTGTGAGTAACAGAGACCCAACGTAATGATTTAAACAAAATAAAAATGCATTTTTCTCGTATGTGAAAGTCCAGAGGTAGGCAGCACAGTGACAAGTATGTAAGCTCTGGTCCCTGAAGTCTTCACAGAACCAAAAGCCTTCCAGCTCACCATTCCAACATCTTTAGAGTTTGGCCCTTGTTGTCATGATCCAATATGGTGGCTACAGCTCTCGTCATCTCAGCCATGCTCCAGGCAACAGGGTGGAAGATGGTGTAAACAAGAGAGGGCAAAAGGCACACACCACTTTTTAAAAAAAGGATTCCAAAAGCTACCAAACAATTCTCCTTTAAGTAGGAGAATGTATTCCATTGGCTAGAACTAGTCACCTGGCCTCCTCTGGTTGCAAGGGAAGCTGGGAAATATAGCCTTTTTTTTTTTTCAAAGTGTACCATTTTCTAAGCATACATGGAACCATCACATAACTAAAATAATGAATATATCCATCACCTCCAAAAGAGGAAATATAATCTTTATTCTGAATGGCCATGTGCCCAAATAAAACTTGAGTTTGAATAAAAAAGAGAACAGATGTTAAGATAATGGTCACTGCCAAAACAATTGATGTGCTAGAAACTCAAAGTACACTAAGTAGGTATTTTAAAGGAAGGCATTTCTAAGTGCTCATTATGAGAAATCTAAAGACATCTAGATACGAAGATTGACACAAATATCAGGAAAACTAGTACACAGAGTTAAGCCACAAGAAGTAAAAAGAGCTGTTGATAAAATGCATGAAGATAACCAAGAAGGGGATATAGGAAGAGGATGTGAAAGAAAATTAATTCCTGCTTTTAGAAAGTAATACAATGACCAAGTAGGCATATTCTTTGATTCCACAAACCCATTTCTTGCATTTTCTTCAACAGGAAAACAACTTATGCACAAATATGTTTGCTGATGAACATTTAATGAGAAGAGAAAGTAAATATTTAACTGGACAACAGGATAGAATTACTATACAAAACACTGTAGTATATTATACAGCCATTAAAAATGAAAACCATATGCAAGCAAAAACTTTTCCCTATAGAATGAAAGTTCTTACTGGTTATTATTAGATATGCATTACATGTATACAAACGAGGACATGAAGGTAAGTCATACACACTTATCAGACCTCAATGCACACATCACTTTCTCAGAGCTACCTTCTCAGGCCTTGGAATAGCTCAGGTGTTGTAAGTGCTGATAGCACTGTTACCTTCCTTGGGGCCACACAAGACCATCTGTAACTGCAGTTTTTATCTAAACATCTCCCTTTGGACTTTAAGCTCCTTGAGGGCAGGAACCTGCAATGGGCACCTGTATTTTTACCCTGACCAGCATCCTCCTTCTTCAATAACATAACCTTGATACTTTGGCTCCAGTGATGGACCACATCCCAAGCCTGACCAATCAGCCCATTCCATGCTCTGGTTGCTCCATGTCACAAGCCTCTTGAGTGCTGGGTCCTTGTTTGTCTTTGTCTTTCCAGGGCCTAGCACAGAACAAGCTTTACATGAATGTCTGATGTCCATGAATAGATGAATAGATGGATGCCCTTCTTTCAACCCAGGTACAGAGCAGAATTGGATCAAACAGATGTGTGGGTTGATGCTTTAAAGGAAAAATGTAGTAGTTAATGGAAAAATGTATTCAAAAGCAAAAATTTATTTTTCTCAAGGGTTATTAGACCTGGGCCTCAGACCTAGCCCTCTTTGCTAGACTGTGTCTCTGTATAAGTCACAGTTCTCCAGGCCTGTTAATTCATTGGCAATGAAAATTACAATATCTACTTTACATGATTGTGTGTAGGTTACCTACACATGGAAACAAATGTGGGTATGTACATACAATGGAAGGGTTTAGCATAGAACCTAATACATGACACCTTCTCAATGTCAGTGGTGCTGTTATTATTATACCTGGGAATAGCTAGAGGCAAATATATAGAGAGAGAGTGGGCGGGGATCTTCTCTTTGAGGTTTGTGTGTTTAGTATTTCCCGTGACCAAATGAGGTTATATTTAATTTCTCCTTTCTCATTTTCCTTGGAAATTTCACTGGGCTGTTGCTGTCTGTTTCTTGGAGGACAGTTATTTATCTTCCAAAGTGACACCTGGCTTATTTTGTTTACCTGTTGTAGACTGGACAACGTAGAATCCATCTGGTGACCCTCCACCTCCCCCACCCTCAACCCCCCATCCCAATCACTACTCAGGAAGCTTCTCTCTGGCAGAGTGGTGACACCAGGGCAGCTGACAGTGCTAGGACAGTGCAGAGGAGGGACTTATTTTTTCCCTTCGCAGATAGATGGATAGTAATTCCAAAGCCAGGCTGATGATCAGAAAAACCAAGGGAGCTTAATGCCAAAACAATAAATAAAAACCATATCCCAGGGCCTCACCACCTGAGAATCTAATCTAGTCAGTGTAGGATGGGGCCTGGTGGTCTGTATTTTTAAAAAGCTTCCTGGGTGATTCTAAAGCTCCTCCAGGCTTGGAAACTAGAGAAATAAAAGACACTCAGCCTTTGTCCAATGTATGGGTTAATATATGCTCACTCCCAGACCAAGCATAGAACTTTCACTTTTTAACACTGACCTGCTACATAGGGGCTCCAATCCCCAGCCCAGTGCAAAGCTAGATGAGCTTTATATGAAGTCACAAGGATTTTTTAAAATATAAATAATTCTCTCTGCTGTTTTCTTGGAAAATATTTATTCAGTCAATAGATAGCACGAAGTTAGTTAAAATGACATATCATGTATGACCTTAACCAGACCTGTAATTGGCTACAAAACACACTTTTGCATTTACCTGCTTTCCCTTCTCTGTATCACCTGATGCACTAGTAAGCAGTGCAGAGACTATGAAGCAAAAAAGTAGTTTTAACAGGTAAAGAAACAACAAGGAAAAGAAGTACGCAAACTGAATGATCAAAATTGAGTCACCAGCTCCAGAACAACAAAGAACTAAAACTGCAATCTTTCAGAAAAGCTTTGCCTCCTTTGAGAAACTGGCATGCTCTCTCTTTTCCAAAGAGAGATGTACCTTATCATGTATGAGTTATGTACCTTATCATGTATGAGTTATGTACCTTACCATGTATGAGCTATGTACCTTACCATGTATGAG